GTACTCGTCAGTCATCGGTCTCTTTTCGAACTGCTTCAAATAAAGGGTTATTTTTAACGTAATATTAAATGATATATATAGTATTTAATGTACTCGTATTAGATTTGGATATTCGATCTGCGTTTATTGAATTTTGTTCACGTCGCTCGACTCTGAATTATGGTTTTATCGGTGATCTTTCAATAACTTGATCCTTTTACGGTTTGTTAGCTAATACAATTAAATCTATTTGTATCTTTCGTTGTTCGAGTTTTGATTAGATTTTTTAATCTTTCCTTGTATGATCCTTATGTGATCTTAATTACTAATTTTTGTATCAATATATCCTAATTATATGTTTAATTAATTATTAATTTTTATATCAATAATTTTTTAAAAATATTCATATCATATGTTTAATTTATAATCATTTACGATTATGATTGCAAATCACTTCTATTAAAAAAACAAAGGTCGGTTAAAAAAACCATAGTCATTTTCTTCCTCTTCCTCTCTATCCTTTTTTTTCTTCTTTACAATTTGTGTCAATTTTATTGATCAATTCAACTTTTTTTTTTAATTTTGTTTAACTGGCGGCGGCACTGATTTTGATGTTGGTTGTCGTCCGTCAGTTATATTTTTTCTTTATTTTTTTAATTTTTTTTAATAAGAATAATTATGTCTTTGTGCATGTTTTCTGTCTTTATGACACATTTTTCTCTTCCTTTTGGTAGCTTACGATTTTTTTTGCTTTTTTTCGTTTATCTTTTTTCACATTGTTAGATTTGGCATTGTCACAACTGATCAAGATGGTGCTTAATTGTTATCCTGTTGATCTTCGCTGCTTTGGACCCTCGAATTGATTTGGATATGCGTTTTGCTCTCGTGGATAGTTTTCTCACGTTCCTTGACTCTGATTTGCGATTTGTCGGTGATCTTTCAATAATTTCATCCCCTTTTGTAGTTCGTTTGCCGATGCAGTCAGATTTATTTGTATCTTTATTTTATTCGAGCATTGGTTAGATTTTTTAACCTTTTCCTTTTATGATCATTGTGTGATCTAGGTGGTTAGTTTCTATGTTATTGGTTATAGGAAAATGTTATAATTATAATTTAGTTTACGTTTACGTTTACGATTATGCTCGTAAATCTTTATTATAATTATGAATATTTTTTTTAGTAAAACTAGCTATTTTCTATAATAAAAAAATTAGTGGTTCAAAAAAAAACAAATGTTAAATAATCTATTAACGACAACTTTCATTTTTTTTAATAATGTCATCTAGTTTTACAGATGACTTTATCTCATTCTTTTTATAAAAGACAAGACATAACGACCTTGTTAAATTTACCTAATATTTTCTAAATCACATTAATTCCTTAAATTTAACTTTCACTTATTTGAAAAAAACTTTGGTCACTTAAAAACATAATTTAAACTTTTGGTTTTTAGTTAAATTTTAAAAGAATTGTCATAATATAAATACACTATCCTCTCTTTTTCTCACCACATAACCTTTCATATTCAACTTTTAACAATAGTTTTCATTCACCAATGACTCACACCGACGACTCAACGACATAAGCGAGGTATTGCTTGGAAGACGAACAAATAAGTTGGCCATTTCAGCTCGGGTATGGAAGTACGTGGAAGTGTAGCAATGGAGATTGGTATTTAAAGTGATGAGGATGGATGATCTCCACCGATCAGCTTATTCTCCTTTGGAAGAAAAATACAAAGGGAAAGTAATATCATTTCATATCTGAAAAAACATCAGCATGAATGTGCTTTGCAAATTAGGCTTGGAACAGACCGCAACTCCAAGCTGTGTTCGTCAGTCATCACTGCTTGACCTTGAAAAGGGATGGGCTTGTTCTGCATTAAACACAAGGTGTCAGATCCACCGAAATGAAAATAAAGGTTTTTTTGGCCAATGGGTCAGCCCCAAAAAATAGTTACAAAATAGGGTACAAACTTTTTTTTAATCTACGATATATTTTATCGTGCACGGAACTCATCACATTGAAATGACGAGTTCTAATAAAAAATATTTTTATTCAAATTTTTTATCTCGATGTAATAAATTTTAATAAGAAATATTTTTTTATCTACTGTAACATTTGTCGTATTATCTAAAATACCTGAATACCCTACTAGCTAAATAAAAAAGCCGAATGCGCTAATGAGTCAACAAAATCCGAAAATAAAGGCATGTTCTTTAATGGAGTAAGCCCAATGATTTTGCTTCCTTCCCCCACTCTCGTTTCCTACTTTAACAAATCCTTTCAGGCCCTTACCTTAGCCTCGTCCCCTTTTTATCCAAGAATTGGACATCTTTCCGCTACTAATAACAAATAAAATATCTTACCTATTTAGTCACTCAATTATTCATGCAGTTATATTTTGACCATTCAATTATTTTTTTAAAATCATAACTAACGTTACGTTTTTGTCATCGGCTGTTAAAAAAAATTAACCATAATATTAACGTATCACCATAAGATAATGTCATAGCATCATTGATTTTTTTAAAATGTCACATTAATAATTATGTCAATTTTTAAACAAAAGTTGCCAGAATAAAATAAAAACATAAAATTATATATTATTTTAAAAAAAATAATTAAATAATCAAAACATAACTACACAAATAGTTGGATAGCTAAATACATAATTTATCCTAATAAAGAGTTACTATAAAAATTAAATGGCATATATTATAAATTAAGATAGTTTTTTTTTTCAATATTAAAGTAACCATAGCAAATTTGATACTATCACGTCAATAAGTTTGACAACAATTAATATAATTAACTAGAATTACAATTAAAGAAATATCATTGACCATGAATATAAATTTATTTGATCCATAGTTAAAAATAATAACCCATTTAATTTTGGGATACAATTAGAGGAGCTGAAAAAAATATTTAAACCAACTTAAATTTCAAATTAGTTCTCTAACTCAAGTCAATAATTCAACAATGACTGCTAACTAGTTTAGTTTAACTTGAGAAAATTCAAACTCTCAACAAGGTTTTAGCAGTTCATTAATTCTATTTTAAACTTATGGCCGAGTGAAAGTTGGGACCATATAACTTGGATGGCCCTTTGTTGCAAATATGCAAGCATTGAAATTGACTCATTGGATAAGATTTTCATCCATCAACTTGTTGAGAAAAAACAACAATTTTCTTCCCATGTTTTAAAATATTCGTTCTTAATATTTACTTGTTTGATACATATATATATATATATTTAAAATCATATGAAGAAAATTCACATAAATAGGACATCTAATACTAATTAATATTTTAAAATAACTCAAGTAGCAATGTTGTAGTTACAACATAAATAGACTGGTACCAATGGCGGAACTAAAGAGAGTTAGTGGGGTCATGGCCCCAAATATTTAAAAAATAATATATATATATATATATACTAAATTATTAAATTTGGCCCACAAATAATATGTATAGTATATTAGATTTAATTGTCTCTCTCTCTCTATATATTTTTTTAAAATTTAAAAATCACTTATCATTTATTAAAAAGAGTTAACATTAAATTTTAATATTATTATTTTATTTTTAAATGAATCCATTTGTTGTCATTTACGATTTTAATAGAAAAGTTCATGTTTTCTCTATTTGATTCTTCTTCTTCACCTCAATAACATATCAAATATTCAACTTTTTAATTTTATTTCAGTTAAAGATATTTTTAAAAATAAAATTTTATTTAAATTTATATTTATGATTTTGTTTCAAATATCTATTGTTATGTGAGTTCACGAATTTTTCATCTCTGAAATTAAAAAAAGTTAGATAGAATTCTATATTATTAACGATATAATTTTTTTTACGTGAATAAATAAATTTTAAATATTTATAAAAATAAACTAATTAATTTGATATTTTAATATATAATTTACGGTAAGAAAGGTATTAAAATGTTTTAATTAATATATACAATTTTCTAAATAACTCCCGCAAGAAATAATATTGAATTCTGCCAGGAATAATGTATTGTTTTAGTACAAGCTAAAAATATCTAATCGAATCCATAAAAAGAAAAAAACTCAAATCAGAAATATCAAACAACAGACCATGAAAAAATAATAAAAAGTTCATCTTATTACTATAGAGTAATTTGTATCCCACTTTCGTGGCATTATCTTTTAGGGTTATATATAATTATAATGGACAGCGTTGTTATGTCTTAGACATAAAGAAAACAAAGACTGTCGATTACAAACTTTTTTAAATTACACTATACAATTATAGAGTTAATTTTTTATCGTGTTGGTCTTTGAAGTTGTATTCAATAACACACAAGTTGATCATTCCTCTTAATATTGTAAGTTTATAATATTTTGTTCATATTAATTCTTTTTTTTTCACTTTAGTATTTAATTATATATATATATTCTTACAAGTTAAAATTAAAAAATTATAATATAAAAATATAAAATAGCAAACTGTTTTTGATTTGATCTTTTCATGCGATTAAAAAGTTTATATTGACAGATAAAATAGTAAATATTTATTCTTGTAAAGAAAAGGAATGAAACCCTTGATAAATCATAGGCTGGGCCGCTGGAGCGTCTCGCGATACGGCCGATAAAGGAAAATTATTGGCGTGAGCGTGACACCGAAGGAACCCATCAGCTCCTGTCCGATTCGCCCCACCGGTGTCGACAGTCTTGCGGACCACCTAACTGACCTCTCTTCTACCGACGTCTGCTTCACATTCGACTTAAGTCTCGCTTCACTAGTTGACACTGTCATTGTCAACTACATATTATCTCAATTATTATTTCCGTATATATTTTTTAATGCAAAAGGCACTGCATATTTCACCTATATATAATGTACATTGCGCCCTGCGACTCAATGCAAATCATTCAGTTTAGAAACCCAGAAGAAGCTCTCTTTTTCTTACTTCTTTTTCTTTTCTGTATTCAATAAACTCTGAAAGTAATCTCTGACCTTCCTCTTCAGTCTTCTCTTAATCAAACATGGCTTCCTTTGAATTTGATAATGTCAAGGCTGAGAAAGAAGATGCTTTATGGAGATACAACATGGAGAAGAAGTTGAAGATCAGGCTCCACTTAACCGGATTTTTGTTGGCTTTGTTTTTGTTGTCATGGTCTTGGTTCCCTACTTTGATCTCTGCCACCTTTGCGGTCGCCGGAGATTTTCTCCGTCGTGTTGTCTCTACTTTTAACGAACCTCTCTTTACTTTCGTCCTTGCAAACTTCATCATCATGGTTATTTATATAATATCTGGCCAAAAACAGACCCAGAAACAAGCTACCAGCACGGACATGGACATCTACGATGAATACGTCTGCAGTTCACGCCGGAGTATACCCACACACACCGCCTCCACGGTGGCTCCGGAAACGGAAGAGACCGTGATGGACAAGCAAATCATTTTTGAAGTAAATGCGGCTCCTCTTTCTCCCGCAAAGCAGCTAGAAACGACAGTTGATACTGATACAATTAGAGATACAAAAATTCCCCCCTCACCAGTTAAACAACATACGACGACGATGGCCCGTACAATACTGACAAAGACAAAGCCGGCGGCCGTGTCTTCAGCTGAATTGAAGGAAAAGGAATACCGAAGAAGTCAATCAATGGTTTCGGAATCTCGAAACCAGAGGCCCGTGGAGCTTCGGAGATCCAAGACGATTATCGGCGGCGGAAAGCTGGTGACTTCAAGTATAGAGCCGCGGAAGAAATCAATGGACGAAATGAGCAGCGAAGAGTTTCAGCTGATTATAGATAGTTTCATCGCTGAGAGAAAGAAAACACTGCTGCAAGAAAATACTGCCCCATCACACTAGGAGACTTGCTTATTCGAGTGAAGACTTAGGAGATTAATCAGACCAAGTCAATTAAAAAAAAGGTATAACAATTTTCTAATTATTAGGGTTTGGGATCGTATAATATTAATAACTATTTGGGATGTACAGTGATAATATTTCCCGGTTAAACTTAATGAGATTATTATTAATCTATATGAATATCTGAGCTTAAATTTTTACGTATGAACCAAAAGCAATCCTACACAGGTATTCAAATCGTAGTTGCGGTCATATTTTTGGTCATGTCTCATTTACTGCGATTGCGGCCATAGCGAGCGCTATTGTGGCCATAGCGAGCGCTATTATGGCCATAGCTGATATATCGGAAGGCTTCGCTACCACTATTCAGCGGGTGTTATCACGATCGCGGAACGCTATTTAAAACCCTGATCCTACATAAAAGATTTTTTTGCATATTAAAATAATTATGTAGGTTAAGATTTAAATCTCCAATTTATTGTATGTTATTTTAATCACTCTTTAGAGTAAGTACAAGGTAGTTTCTGTTCAAAGATAACTTTCAATCATTTGATATTGAACTCTCACATTTGTGATATTCATGGTGCTCGAACCCGATACTTCAATGAATAACAACTATTCATTTACCACCGAAGTCGCTTGGAATAACAACAATTCTTTTACCACCGAAATCGCTTGAAATAACAACAATTCATTTACCAGCGACGTTACTTGGTTGATGCTACACACTGGTCTTAGTACTTCTTTTTGGGGAACTTTGTGTTACCTTAGTCAACTATGGTAATTCAAAAGCCAATTTTTTTAATATAACAATCCGTATTTATTGAAATTAAAAAGGGAAAGTGAAAGCGCATTAACAATTCAATTAAAATATCATGAATCTACAACCAATAAAGCTTGAAATTTTGTGAGGAACGTCAAAAGCTTTTGATCTACTTTTTAATTGATCTCCATCATAATTGTGTTTTCATTGTTTAGAATCCCTTGGAACAAAATGGTAAAAATAGTTGCTGCAATTCTATAAGATCCCACCGCCAGCTTTTTGTATTGTCCTTTTTTTCAAGTGATATATGTATTCTAAGAAAAACCATGAAAAACTTATTTGCCTACGGTTAGAATCCAGTACCAAGAAAGTTGAAAAAGTGAAAACTAGCTGTCTGCATGCGCAGTTCAATAATTCAAGACTTTGTAAAACCTTTCAAGAACATGGTTTTATTTGGTTCCCAGTATTCACAAAAAGGACTCATTGGGATAAAAAAAAAAGAGGGTTGAGGCTATGGTGGTTTACTAGGGAACAATGGGTTTAGACTGGGGTTCAACGTCCTTGTGGGTTGTAGGGTATTCCTATTTTGTATTACTATATTCATATCAGATATGTATTTAAATTAGACTTCCTGATATCTTAGAATTAACTTGTTTGCGATGAAGTCAGTCTGTAACACAAAGGGAGGGTTTTTTCATTGTTTATAATCGTTAACCATCAGCATGACCCACATTATCGTTTCGCCTTTTGTTGTTTCTGCCTGTCACTGCCGTCAACTGGTGTTCAAAAACCATTAAACTCGTTATTTACTTGATGGCTGCAATAAGGTCCTCTGTCTCCGTACAAATGGTAGAGGCATTAATTAATTTATTTTATTTACAACATGCAATTTCTTCCATGCAAAAAGATTCAATTTTGGGTGTAAAATCTTGGGGGACCACAAACCATCCATCAGCTTCACTCCATCACAACCTTTTCATTACCTGCAAATTATTTTATTATTTTCATTTCATGGAGATGAAAAGGTAGCAGGCTAGTTGTTATTATTATTGTTCAATTATTGTAACAGTAACAATATACCATGCAATTTAATATAATTTGAAAAAGGGAAAAGTGCAAGTTGTCTACAGATTTTGAATATAATATAATATTTGTCTTTATATAGGAACAATTATATCCCTGTTTCCCACCCAGAATTGACATCTACATTTCTTTTCTACTGCTCATATGCTGTCATATGATATCATTGTTTCTGGATAAGAATCACTTCATCTTCAATCTATTGTAAAGTTTGCTAGTGGTTAACTTTATTTCTTGTAAACTTGGACTAGGGAGAAGACTACGTTGAGTTGGTGACAATCAAGAAGATGGTTTCCATTTTATGAATTATTTTGTTTGTCAAACTTTGTTGAAATAGCTGCTGCTACTGGCATTGTTTGGGTTCAGTAATTGAGATGGAAAAGAAAATTACCTTAAAGTATCTGTGATAGTAATATTAACCATAGAGCTAGAAAACTAAAACTTGCATGAACCTCTGCCCTCTGGCCCAGGTACTCAGTAGGAGTCCTGAGATCGAGAACCATAAAAACACCCACTTCTGAAATGGGTTACTAGCAATTGTTGTTTTATCATATACAACTTTTCATGTTGTTGATTTATACTTGTCAAGGACAAGTAATTGTTCTATTGAGGCTAAGTTTTGATTTAGATGACTAAGCATTGAGATTTTCAAAGTCCTATGGAATGAAGTTATTTTCTTGATTCCTAGAAAGCAAGGTAGTTACTAGCTAGTTCTTAGTAGATTTCTTCTTATCTGAAACAAATTAGCATCTCTTGCCATTGACATATATTGGAGTGTTTAGGTTATGTTTCTTGACAATGTGGGATAAAAGTAAAAAATGTATTCCTTAATTTTTTTATCTCTATATCTAATGAATCTACTTATATACTATTATTAAATTACATTGGATTAATATTTATTATTAAGGTTTATTAATTAAGATAAAGTATTTTTTATATGTTAATATATTTAAGTACTTAATTTTTAATTACAAGTTCAAAAAAATTATGTAACACAAATTAAAAATATTTCATTGACATAAAAATGTATTATTTACTGAATATGATTAATTAGATCTATAATTTAAGTTGAATCTAATATAAAAATATGAAAAAAATATTGCTTGGTGCCATGAACATGTAAGATGTGAGGCTTATATAATTTAAGATGTAAGAGAAATAAAAATTTATCTATGGGTTGATCTTACACAAGACTACCATAACTATGCAACTCTGTGGACCCTTCCTGAGATTATGTTAGTGTGATCTAACTTGTTTATAATTTTAGAAGTAAAATTGATATTTCAAAGGGTTTGTTGGTTTGCTTGATGTCCTCATGAAACTGTCTTAGTGCTTGTAATTTTGGCTAATACTTTTCTTGAAGATGAATAATTACTGTCAATTAGAAATTGGAATCATTTTTTACTCATTTCTGTAGTTAAGAAACTGGTATCAATTAAGCCTGATCTTTATTTTTATAAAGCTAATTCTTGTTGTGGTATTTGAAGTAACTGGTTAATTTGAATTATCGTTTGAGATTGATGAATTGATTATTGATAACAAGGCGTTTTTACCCAAAAATACCTAATTATTATAATATTATCTGTGAAACACCATTTCCCTAAAATTTACCGATCTAACACTCTTTATATCTAATAAATTTACTTATACACTATTGTTAAATTACATTAGGTTAATATTTATTATTAAAGTTTATATTAATTAAGATTAGATATTTTTATATGTATTAGATACTATTGTCAATCCATCTAATTTAGAAATATCAATTTTGCTTCTAAAATTACAAACAAGTTAGATCATACTTACATAATCTCAGTATAAACCTACAAAATTATATAGTTATGGTAGTCTTGTGTAGGATCAAACCATATATGAATTTTCATTTCCTCACATCTTAAATTATTTAAACCTATCTGTCACTAAAAGATGCCTACCTAACATCAGTCAAGTTTACAACCACCCCCTGCGCCCCCCCCCCCCCCTTCTCCCGGGCGCTGAGATGGCAAACAGAACAAGCCAAGAGAAACCAGCTACCAGTTTCCTAAACATAAAAAAACGATATTATCAAGCTTTTGCCTCATCCCAGTGATATTATTTAATCCAGGTTCAATTCCTTTAGAATAAAAAAGCAGAGCAAATAAGAATCTATCACTCAATATGTAGAGATTGATTCTTTCTTAATTCATATCAAATTTTACTGAAGACCAACACACAAATTGGAATATAGTTTTACATATTATCATTCCAAACAACTTATATCAAACTCTTCTAAATTTTTCAGAACCAATTTCTGAAACCATTAGTGTCATAGCGGTAGTCAGGGTGGGTCGACAGGGGGCAGGTAGAAGCTATAAGTTGATACTTGATAGGAAGAAATAAAACCTTATTTTCAGTTCGACAATAATTCTAATCTATGAATTGAAATCTTTTAAACTGCCAATGAACAATAATGGAGAATATTAAACCTCAAGCATGAATAAAAATACAAGAAGAATGATTATATTTGGACCCAAAAAGTAGATAGTTTGGTGTTTTTCATACCAATCAATGCTAAACATAGATTTATCAGAAAAGGGCACACTTAAGCAGAAAATACCTATCGATCGTATCATTTGGCTTGGAATGGATTAATTTGTGGCGAGAATATAAAGGCCAAAATCAGTACCCAAGATAGCTCGGATCACCCATATACTCAGCAATCTGTTCAAGTTTCACATTTAGCAACTCCCGACTGTCAGCATCTCTTACAACACCCATTTCTCTATCTAAACCCCTCTCTATCAAATCTCCATATACACCTTTATGCCTACCGTATAATACAAGAACTGGACCACCACGCCTAGGCAATGCAGTCTCAAGCAGTTCCTGCTCAACCCCTTGAATCAACTCCTTACTCTCATCCATTGATATATCACACATGTATGGCCCAACAACATCCACCACCTGCCCTTTCTTCAAATACAGCCTTCCCCCTGCCAAACTTTTACTAATAATCCGAACCCTAATGTGACTTCGGAGCCAAGAAACCCCTCGATCACCATTACTCCTAGTTCTCTCAACATTAACTACTGTTTCACTCCTTTTTTCACTCTCTATGCCTCGTTTGCTAGACTTCCTTTCGCTGCCCTTATGTTTTGACAATTTTTCTTCCTTGATC